TTATGACCAACTAAAGTATTGTGTTCAATATATAAAAAAAAAACTAAAGTATTGTGTTATTCAAAATTGATAGATTCTCACAACTAAATAGCTAATTAGCTCTTTAAAGTATATATCAAACTCTCCTGAGTTACTGGCCAGTCCATTTGTGTTGAACCAACTTTTTATAACCCCACTGCCTCCTCTCCCAATGACTTTTAACGATATACAAATTATAACCACATTACATTGAAATTCCCCATCATACATTCCCCATAACCCACAAAAACTCAACAAAATCTTCATTCTCATTACCAAATAAACACTCTAACTAACCTATAACAACATCGCAAAATTCAATACCGACACACAAAAATAGAAGAAAGACATATATACAACTTGAGGTTCACATTGAGAGATGTTTCTATATTTCTTTTTTTTTTTTTTGAATTGAGATGTTTCTATATTTCCCCCTGAAAACCACATCTTTAAAACGTATTTTTAGTTTGTGAACCTAGGTGGATCTTGGCACCATTGTGCAATGCCATCATTGGTTCACTCATTCCGTGAAGTCTCTCATCTGCAAATTCAGCTTAAAAAGTCATGGTCAATCCCCAGTGGCGTCTGGTACCTTCGTGTAAACCAAACCATTGCTCTATGCAGGTCCATGCTCCTCATATCGTTTCAACAGTGAAACACCTTTAGTTTCATTTTGTTACAAAATTCTCAACTCACCTATTCCGCTTCTAACGCTCAAGAGTAGTGCAGCCAGACAGCTTAAGCTCGAGAATAGAGCACGAGTTCTTTATTCCTAATGGCAGTTTCTTAAGCCTTCTACAGTTTTCCAAATCAAGCGTACCAAGTTTAGTGAGATTCTCGATTGACAATGGAAGTTCTTTTATGGCGGTCCCAGCTAGATATAACTCTTTCAAGTTTGGTGCAAAATCTTGAATCTCATGGAGCTCTGAGCAGCCAGACAGATTAAGAAGCTTGAGAGATGTCAAATCAACCATGGCAGGTAAACATCCCAAACGAGAACAGTCTTTCATGTTCAAGGACACAAGCTTCCCACAACGAGGAATAGATGTACTAACGTCAACCAAACTAGTACATCCCTCGAGATCGATATCTTCAAGGTTCAAGGCTTCTGATAACATCAAGATATCAGTTAATTTTCTCGAGTGACTCAATTTGATTTTCTTTAGCTTCTCGAGATTCTGTTTTATAACCAAAATGAGTCAGTCATCATATGCAAGCGCTTATAAATTCATGTAAGCAAAGCTTAAAATCTTTAATCAAAGACTTACTTTCTTCCCTTCCCATAACTTCTCCATGTTGCTATAAGGCATGTTTACCTCTACAAGGTTCTCAGGATTAAACTTGTGAGGCAAGTATTTCAGAGGGTAATTCTCCCAGTGAAGTAGCCTTAGCTCTTCGGGCAAAGTATCAAGGCCATGAGGTAGACTTAGCTTGCACTCATTTCCAGAATGAAACTTCAACAATCTAAGTCTATACATGTTACTAAACACTGTAGGACTCAGTTCAAAGGTTAAGTCAGATGCATCCAAGAAGATTCCCTCGATTGCTTCTGTTCCCTGGCAAAAGACAGATCACATGCATGAGTAGGATATAACATCAGTTAAAAGCACTTAAACACATGACAACTTACTGAATTGTTTGTCAATACATCAACAATGTCGTTAGAGTCCCACAATCTGCTACGTTCACATGGATTCTCGTCTTCTTCACAAACAATAAACCGACCAATGTCTTGAAAAGGAACTGGTATCTCTATCCTATTGTCCATGAGGCTAATGAGAGACTCATCGATGAGATCACAAATTCCTAAATACGTGAAAAAACCGCAAGCATCAAGTAATTGTACTACATGATCCATGTTTTCACCTCTGAAAAAACATGCAAGGTCTAAAAATATGTTCTTTTCGTTTTCATCTAATCCATCAAAGCTTCTCCGAAATGATTCTTGAATCCGAGGTGGAGGATCTCTCCGCAAGCTTATGAGATGAAACTTCATATTGTTTATATTCTGCTTTGATACAGAGGAACCAAAAACATTGATAGCCAATGGAATACCACTAGTGCAGCTCATAAGCTTCGAGATGAACCAAATTTCTCCATTTAAGTATTGTTTGCAGAGACGGAAAGATTCAAACTCACATAGTTTTTGGATCTCGTATGGCTCTTTAACTTTACACTTTACAAGAACCTGTTTTCTCCTAGAGGTTAAGATGATTCTGTGTCCATGAGAAAACCAACCAAACCCTCCAACTACAGCTTCTACATCTCTGGAACAGTTCACGTCATCGAGAACTACAAGTATCGTTTTACTGTGGAACCAGTCTCTCATGAAACTCGGTTTGATGTCACAAGCACTTATACTCGGTTTTTCTTCCCTAAATATTTTAGAGAAGAAATCATCACGCATTTGCCTCACGCCTTTCTCTTTACACAATAGATCAAAGTCTTGTATAAAGTAGGTCAGATCATATTGTGGAGCTAGTCTTCCAAAAATTTCTCTAGCAATACATGTCTTACCTATTCCTGCCATACCCCAGAGTCCAACAATTTCCGCTTCTGAAGGCGACTGTGAGTGATTCAAAAATGCTAAGACTCTGGCCACATTCTTGCTGTTTTTCAAATATAGCCTTAAACATGCGTCTCGAACAACTTCCTCGGTAACCATGAACTGAGTTCTGCAGAAGAAAACCAAATTAACACTCTTCCGAATATTTGAAAATGTTAATAAGCACATTGGAATAAATTTACCCTTTTGTCCATTCATGTCCATTGATGGACGCTATTTCAGTCATAGTCGTCTTCCATTTCTGAACTCTATCTGCTTGGACAGAGTTCTGATACTGCAGAAATGCTGCTTCGAACCCACAAAGGTCTGCATGAGTTACTTTAAAATATATAGGAATAATTTCATGGTTTGTTGCTTTCCCATGCTCCATGATTGCCACCAAATGATCCAAGGATTGACTACTACGAGCAAAACTACTATCCGAAAGTACCAAAATACCAACACTAGATTTGCCGAGCATATCCTCGTCCATGTTCTCCCTCCCTGATAGACTATATGTCAAAGGAGTGACCTCTCTCGCGTGCAACTCTTTCAAGATGGATTCGATGAAAGATGTTTCCTCTACATCAAGGTTGTCATTGCACGAAAAGACTAATATGCATTCTGCTTCTCCAGTCTTCTCTTTCGTGGTCTGGTAAAGATATATAGATGTGGTTCCACTGTTTCATTAGCTGAACACAACACATATAAATGATCATTTCAATATCATGTGTATGTTGAAAAGATTCTTACCGGATAAGAAGCCATTTCATCAACGATAATAGGGGGGCTTTGCCCGTCTTCGTCCATTAAGCTCAAGTTCTGGAAGTGAGCAACCAGTGGAGTTTTACCTTGTATCGGTGCATTTGCCAAGGAAGCAACTTTCTTGCTGTTGAAAATATCAACTGAACCTGTACTTCAATTGATTCTGCTTCTTAGTAACGACCAAAAAATGCGGATTTTACATACATAACCAACCAAAAAAACTTACATTGCTTCTAGAGTCATAAAAGAAAAGGACAAAGCCAGGAAGAAACTTAATGATAAACAGGAACCAGATGATGATACTATGTCGTCTCCTGCTTGGAAGTTTAAACAGAGAACGTACCTGAAATAAGCGACGATCCTGCATTTGTGAAGTAGGACGCAAGACTGATCTCCAAGTCGTTGTATTTACTCAAGAATGGATGTTCCTGAAAACCGGAGGAATGATTTCAACATTTGAATTAGAGAGAAAAAATGATACAAAAGGGCTTTTATAAAAATACAAACCATTAGTTCCTTTGCTGAGCTCCGTCTTTTCGGGTCCTTTTGCAAACTTAAAAGAGAGTGTCAAGTAGAATATCTCAAGTTAGTAAGTAATCGCGGTAAAAAGAGCAGGGCTTCTTTTATGAGATGGAGATTACCATGAGGAGATGAATGAAGATAACTCAGGGGAGAAATCTCCTGAAGGAAGAGCAGGTGGCGGTTGGTCAACAATAGCTTCCATCAAGTCGAAAACACTAGTCCATGTTTCATCTTGACCAAGTGGTGCATAAGGGAACTTTCCTGTTGCACATTCAAGCACTACTAAACCAAGACTCCATATATCGCTTTTAGTACCGTACTTGTTTCCAACTGCAACGATTCTTTCTGGCTGTATAAAAAAAAAAAAATCAAGATTTTGAATACTTTATGACACTCAAAAAGGTTTCTAACTAGTCACATACTTACCGACATATAATTGCAAGTCCCGACAAATGTGTTAGCTAATCCGGCGGTGTTTGTCATAACTTTACTGACACCAAAGCCAGTGATTTTAACCTCTCCTCTGTGGTTGATCAAAAGATGGGATGGTTTCAAGTCACGGTGAATGATATGCTTATCGTGATGAAGATAGATCAATCCCTGAAGCACCTGTATACATCAACAGATTCAAGAACTTACAATACATAAACCGATCGATACAGGAATATTAATTACGCTTGGTTTCATATGTGCTTCGTACTTGTTTAAAGATAGCAGAAAGATATGACTCAGGGATGGTTTTAACTGATTTGAGAAAATCCGCTAGAGAACCACCGTCCATGTAGTCGGAGATTACCGAGATTGCGCCGACATCGTCATAAAATGATTTGTACCATGTAACAAGATATGGACATTGTGATGATTGATTTATTTTCAGCTCTTGTGCAATTGACTTACGAATTGCTCGATCTATACTTAGTTTAATCACCTAATTATAGCCAGAGAGAGTCATCAAGTTCATTAGCTCCTCAAAGATATCAAAGTGATCTTACGAGTATAAAATACCTTCAAGGCGAAAAATTGGCCAGTGAATTTGTGTTGAACCAATTGTATAACTCCATTGCTTCCTTCTCCAATGACTTTAACCTTATCCAAATCCGACAAGCTCCACTCATCATCCACTGGCTTAATTGGAGACACCTGAACCACATGCAAGTACATGAGCTTTTGTCATGTCTGAAAATTCAGTACCGAAATTAACAAAAATAGAAGAAAGACATATACAACAATTTGAGGTTTAGATTGAGAGATGATTCTAACACCATCCTTGTTAACTCGTAGATCTCCATCTTTAAACGTATCGCTCTGCATCCTAAAGACAGAACATAAAACCCTAACCGAGGTTAAGATCGAAATACAGATAAAGATACTAATCGATTGTTTACAGAGATTTGGTGAGCTTATCGATTGTTTACAGAGATTTGGTGAGCTTAAGATTGTTTTACAAGAACCACTCTTCTTTCATTATCGTCTACACTTTCTTCTCCACTCACTAAGTTATGATTATATGCATGCAACGACTTTTGACTTTCCC